CTCACTGCCTCCTCCCCCTCACTGCCTCCTCCCCCTCACTGCCTCCTCCCCTTACTGTGTCCCTTCCCTTCCTTCCTTAGGCCCACCCTGCGCCCCAGCCTGTAATGACGATCACTGCTGGGGTGAGAGCCCTGAGGACTGTCAGATCTGTGAGTCTGAGGGAGACTTGGCATCTGGAGGTGGGGCTGGGGCAGGGGGACAGCTGGGAGTGGTGGGGTGTCTTATTCGGGATAAGCTGTCTCCTAGAAGGCAATGCTATGCTGCTGAGGGTCTGCTGCCCTGGCGCCACCCAGCACCCATCCTGTCCTCTCATCAACAGTGACTGGCACCATCTGCACCAGTGGCTGTGCCCGATGCAAGGGCCGGCTGCCCACTGACTGCTGCCATGAGCAGTGTGCTGCAGGCTGCACGGGCCCCAAGCATTCTGACTGCCTGGTATGTGCCCCTTGGGCCAATCCTCCAGGACGCAAGGGGTGGGCATCTTTCCTGGCACTGCCCTACTACATTGGCGCACCAGGTTGCAATATCCCGGTGACCACCAGCGGCCTGTCTCTACCAGGCCTGCCTCCACTTCAACCATAGTGGCATCTGTGAACTGCACTGCCCAGCCCTCGTCACCTACAACACAGACACCTTCGAGTCCATGCCCAACCCTGAGGGTCGCTACACCTTTGGTGCCAGCTGTGTGACCACCTGTCCCTGTGAGTGCTGGGTAGAAGAACATCATTTTAATGCCTTGGCTAGGGAAGATGGCTGGTATAAATGGGAGCATGTTGTGAGTGTCGGGTGCCTGTTGGAGTGTTGGTCATGACTCTCCAGTCCAGCCGCCTCATTGTTTTCCTTAAAAATTTTTATATTTATTTCTGTTTTATGTGTGTGAGTGTTTTGCCTGCATGTGTGTCCATGCACCATGTGCATGTGGAAGTCTGAGGAAGGAGTCAAATCCTCTGGATGGTTGTGAGCTACCATGTGCATGCTAAGAACTGAACCTGAGTCCTCTGAAAGAGCAGCCAGTGCTCTGAGCTGCTGAGCCATCTTTCCAGTCCTTTGCTTTTTCTTTTTCTTTCTTTCTTTCTTTCTTTCTTTCTTTCTTTCTTTCTTTCTTTCTTTTTTTTGGTTTTAGTCAGGGTCTATCTTTGTAGTCCTGGCTGTCCTGGAACTTGCTGTGTAGACCAGGCTGGCCTTGAACTCATAGCGAGCATCCCGTCACTGCCTCCCAAATGTTGGGATTAAAGGTGCGCGCCACCATGCCTGGTTCCTAACCCTGCCTCTTTTAAAATCAGGATCCTGCGTAGCTCAGGCTGGCCTTGCCTTGAGTTCACCACATAGCTAATGACACTGAACTTCTGATCCTCCTGCCTTGCCCCTGCCGAGTGCTGAGTGCTGGGATTACAAGTGTGTGCTGCCACTCCTGGGTTTTTGCCTCCTATTTAACAGCTACATAGCAGGTGGCAGCAAAAGAGCCCAGCCTTGGGAGCTAGAGTGCAGGATTTGTCCCCTATCATTTAATAGTCTTAACCACTTTCCCCTTACTGTGCCTCAGTTTCCTCGCTTGTATAATAGGAACAGTAATAGTCCCATCCTAATAATTATATAATGTCCGAATGAGTTAATATCTGTGACTCTTTTAGAACAATGCCAAGTCTGCACTAGATACTCTTTTCAATGTTTGTCTTGTTCTCCAGTGTGTATAGCGTAGGGCTTTGGATGACAGCTACCCTGCACTGATGGATACTTAGGGACTGTGCTTGGTCCTGGGTACCTCTTTCTTTCCTCTCATGGGAGGCAGAGTGGGCCTTGCGGTGCTGGCTGCATTTCCCTGGGATCAGGGTGAGAGGACAAGGTGGGGAGCCAGGTTGTTGGGTTCAAGTCCTCGTTTCTAGGTGGACATGGTAGCCCAAACTTGTCATCCTAACACTTGGGAGGTAGAGGTGGTGGGGTCAGGGGTCATCCTCAGCTACATAGTGAGTTTGAAGCCAATTTGGGTTACATGTAACCACGGCTTAAAAAAAAAAAAAAAAAAAGATTTCCAGGCTCTGTTGTTACTTAGTGGCCCAAAGATGGGGGTGATTTGCATAACTCCAGGCTTTGATTTCCCTTTTTGCAAAATGTAGATAACAGTGCTTTTGGAATAGGAGGAAATGGTGGTCCCAAGTCAGGTGCAGAGAAGGCCTTCGGGGATTGGTTGGTAGTATTCGTCTTAGACCTGGGCACGGTGGCCTTGCTCATGGTTGGCTGGGAGGCTGGACGACGTGGATTTGCATTCCCAATCTGTGCAGACAACTACCTTTCTACGGAAGTGGGATCCTGCACTCTGGTCTGTCCCCTGAATAACCAAGAGGTGACAGCCGAGGATGGAACACAGCGGTGTGAGAAATGCAGCAAGCCCTGTGCCCGAGGTACCAGCTGCAGCCCCTGACTGCCATCCCGGTCTGGCCCACCCCACTATTGCTTAGACCCCCGCCCCGGGGGGGATGCCCAGTGCTTTTCTCCCGCTGCCCTGCCTACCGTGCCCCTCGCCAAATCCATCTTCGGAGTGTCTCTTGCCAGCATAGGGAAGAGACTTGTCACTTCAGGAGCGGATAGTGGACAGGTCTCTGGTGTACCATGTGGTGCTGAGATGGCCCCTTTCACACCACCCTTTCCTTCAGTGTGCTATGGTCTGGGCATGGAGCACCTACGAGGGGCAAGAGCCATCACCAGTGCCAATATCCAGGAGTTCGTGGGCTGCAAGAAGATCTTTGGGAGCCTGGCATTTTTGCCAGAGAGCTTTGATGGGTAAGGGTACACAGTGGCCTGAGGTGGCATCAGGGAAGACGCGGGGTCCTGAAGACCCAGGTATAGCAGCAGCATCTCTGAGGAATCCCTAAGTTGGAGACCAGAGGGAGCTGGGGACGTGGCGTTAAAGGTTACTTTTTTTTTTTTTTAAGATTTATTTATTATGTATACAGTATTCTGCTTGCATGTACACCTGCATGCCAGAGGAAGGCACCAGATCTCATTACATATGACTCTGAGCCACCATGTGGATGCTGGGAATTGAACTCAGGACCTCTGGAAGAGCAGCCAGTGCTCTTAACCTCTGAGCCGTCTCTCCAGTCCCCGAAGGTTACTTTTATTTTTTTTTTATTTATCTTTATTTTATGTGCATTGGTGTGAAGGTGTCAGATCCCCTGGAACTGGATTTTCAGACAGTTGTGAGCTGCCATGTGGGTGCTGGGAATTGAACCCTGGTCCTCTGGAAGAGCAATCAGTGCTCTTAACCACTGAGCCATTTCTCCAGCCCCGAAGGTTACTTTTATAAACAACTTGTTATCCATAGACATGGACATTCGTGGTGATCAAACCATCCGGATGAAGTCCAATGCTCCCATCCCAGAGGGAACAGTGTTAAAGTTCAGTGTGTTCCTGTAGGGCTTCTGGAGATTGGTGGACACAGAGAGACAGTGTCGGCTGGCGAGGCTGGCTTATTGAAGCTGCCATGTACCCTTGCTTTGGGGAGTTGTTCACGACAGTTTTTGTTGAGCCTGCCTATTTTTTTTTTTATTTTTAAGTTACTTTTATTTTATGTGCATTGGTGTTTTGCTTGCATGTGTGTCTGTGTGAGGGGTCAGAAGCCCTGGAACTGGAGTTACAGACAGTTGTGAGCTGCCATGTGGGTGCTGGGAATTGAACCCAGGTCTTCTGGAAGAGCGGCTAGTGCTTTTAAACGCTGAGCCATCTCTTCAGCGCCCAGACTGCCTCATTCTTATAATAGTTGTAGAACAGGAGGCAGCAGAGTCCAGACTTGAGTTTGAAACTTACCCCCCGCCCCGCAATGTGTGTGTCTGTATATCAGTGTGTATGTGTATCTGTCTTCTCCTCTGTGTGTCTGTATGACTGAAGGGCAGCCGCAGGTGTGGCTCCTTAGGAGCCATCCACCTTGTTTTTCTAGGGCCCCTCACTGACCTGGAGCTCACCAGAACAGGCTAGGCCTACTGACCAGGGCACCCCAGGAATTGTCTTTATCACTTCCATGTTAGGGTTGAGTTGCAAGCTCGCTGACACACAAGGGCTTTTTTATGTGGGTTCTGGGTATTGAACTTAGGTCCTCACACTTGTACGGCAGAGGCCTGTCTACTCATGAGCTTCATTGCCTTCTCCTTTCTATGCCTCAGTGCCCTCGTGTGTAAGATGAGAACCGTCATAGCTCTACCCGCGAGGTGGTTCTAAAGGCTGAAAGAGTTAATGTTTGGGATGCTCTCAGAACAGGGCTTGAGGGACCCCGAGCACTCTGTGTCTGTGTTTCAGAGCCCGCAGAGATCAGGGTTTTATGTAGCAGCACCCCTGTTCACTCATGGCTGCTTGGGCCATATTCAGATGTCTCTCATACAAACCACTCAGCTTGTTGATGCCTCTAGCAGCTGAAGCTGGCATCTTTGTTGGCCATACTTCTGCAAGGGAGACTTCTAGATCAAAGGACACAAATCGCCGCCAGATTTGAACCCTAGGCTTTGAGTCTCAGGATGGGAACAGCCACACTTGATTAGGCTTTAAGTGAAGGTGTTGGTGAGGGTGGAGAGTGGTGTCTCAAGGCCAGCCGGGGCTCCTGACCTCCATCCTCCTGATCCTTCCAGGAACCCCGCCTCCGGCATTGCCCCCCTGAAGCCTGAGCAGCTCCAAGTGTTTGAAACCCTGGAGGAGATTACAGGTGGGCTGTCTTTCTGTGTCCTGCTCCAGGGGGGCCAGGAGTTCTGGACCTTTCTGCGTACCCAGCCCCCTACTCTGCCCGCAGGTTACCTATACATTTCAGCATGGCCAGACAACCTCCATGACCTCAGTGTCTTCCAGAACCTTCGAGTCATCCGGGGACGAATTCTCCATGAGTAAGTGTGAGCGGAGGGGGCTGAGGAGGCATGAGTACCCTGCTCCCCAGTGACACCACCGGAGCTTTGACACGCGTCTGCAGGAAGAGGGTGGCAGTGGCCCTTTGGTGGCAGAAAATGGGCCTAGAGTCGGTCCCTTCTTGCAACTGGAAACCTCCTTTCCACAGTGGTGCCTACTCATTGGCGCTGCAAGGCCTGGGAATCCGCTGGCTGGGGCTGCGCTCACTGCGGGAGCTGGGCAGCGGCCTGGCGCTCATTCACCGCAACACCCATCTCTGCTTTGTACAAACTGTACCTTGGGACCAGCTCTTCCGGAACCCCCACCAGGCCCTGCTCCACACTGGGAACCGGCCAGAGGAAGAATGTGGTAAGACAGGAAGCCCAGCACTGTGGGCCAGTACACAGGAGTATAGGTAGCCTCTGACCTGTGCAAGCCTTCTGTTTTTAGAGCCCTTTTTCGTTGTTGTTTTGAGATAGGATCTCACTACGTAGCCCTGGCTGTCCTGGAACTCACTATGTAGGCCAGGCTGGCCTCAAGCTCAGAGATTTGCCTGCCTCTACCTTCTGAGTGCTGGGATTAAAGGCATGAGCCATTGTGCCTGCTAGAGCCCTGTGTGTTCACTTGCCTGTGATGATTTGGCCTTGTGTGACAGCTTCCAGCTGTGTCCTTCCATGCTGCCCAAACACCCATCCCTTCCTTGTTTCTTGAACCACAGAATTCTTCCTTTCCCTGAATGTCCTAGCATCGATCCCGATCCTGATCCCTTCAGCCCAGAGCCGTGCTCACAATATAGCCTGTTGACTTAGACCTGAGCCTCTCTGAACACCTCTGTCTGCTGCTTCTCTCCTCACTGCAGGTCTCGAGGGCTTAGCCTGCCACCCACTGTGTGCCAATGGGCACTGCTGGGGACCAGGGCCCACCCAGTGTGTCAACTGCAGCCAGTTCCTTCGGGGCCAGGAGTGTGTGGAGGAGTGCCGAGTTCGGAAGGGGTAGGAGCGGCAGAGGAGTGGGTGGCTTGAGGGGTACACAGGGCTCCTCCCAGACCCCTTACTACGCCCATCTCTCTTGCAGGCTCCCTAGGGAGTATGTGAGTGGCAAGCATTGTCTGCCATGTCACCCCGAGTGTCAGCCTCAAAACAACACAGAGACCTGCACTGGATCGGTAAGGTGCTGGTGGGCCCAGGGCTCTGGGGAGGGGCAAACAGAAGGGTACCGAGGGACTGGCAGGTTGCTGCAGGGTAAAATATTCCCAGAGAAGGCTCAGCCTAGACCTGGACAGCAGAAGGTGGGGGAGGGGAGAGGCTGCCCACATTGTGCTGTGGACCCTGGGCTACTCCTTCATGCTGGTGATGCTTCAGACAGTCCCAAGAAGGCCTGTGTCCTTGGATGTGGCTGTGCTAAGGGCCAAATCCAGGCCCTGTTTCCAGCCTCAGTTTTTACTTCTATAGGGAGAATGTTGTAATAGTTCCTGCCCGGTTGGGGTGTGGTGAGAATGAAATTAAATAGGATTTGGCACAGCGCCCAAGCACGGAGAAAACTTTGTACATAATAGTTGTCACTTGTCACACCTTGGAGGAGGCGCGTCCCTCTCTGGGTGACTCCATTTCCTTGTAAAGAACAGGGATGTTTACCTCAGTGACGGGGAGGCAGTGTTGCTAGTTGGTCAGGGACGCGGGGCTTGATCCTTCTGTTGTAGGGATGGTGGTCCTCCCCCTTCCCCCATGCAACTCTTCCTCTCTATCCAGGAGGCTGATGAGTGTAAGGCCTGTGCCCACTACAAGGACTCGCCCTTCTGTGTGGCTCGCTGCCCCAGTGGTGTGAAACCAGACCTCTCCTACATGCCCATCTGGAAGTACCCGGATGAGGAGGGCATATGCCAGCTGTGCCCCATCAACTGCACCCACTCGTGAGTGGAGGGAGTTTTTTGTTTTTGTTTTTTTTCCTGTAGAAAGGAGGGCTTTCATGATAGGAGCCCCCTGGAGCTCTTGTTCTGAAAGGAAGATAAACCCACCTTCATTCATATTGAGATGTAATTTTTTTTTAGTTTTTTTTTTTTTTTTTTTTGTGACACGGGGTTTCTCTATAAAAACGCTCTGGCTGTTCTGGAACTCTCTGTAGATCAGACTGGCCTTGAACTCAGAGATCCACTGTCTTCTGCCTCTCAAGTGCTGGGATTAAAAGTGTGTGCCGCCACCACCCGGCTGAGATGTCATTTGTGTATTTCTTTTCTAATCACTAAATAACACATTAGGGGTTGGAGAGGTGGTTGTGTGGTTAAGGGCACTGTCTGCGCTTTCAGAGGATTGGAGTTTGGTCCCTCAGGAGACTCATGGTTTCTATTAACTCTACTCTCCAGAACTCCAAGGGTTTATTTCTGGCTCCTGCAGGTACACACATATACTCAGACACTTACAGATATAGAAAACTAAAAATAACTCAATTAGGGGTTGGCACGATAGTTCGGTGGGCAGAGGCGCTTGCTCAAAAGCCTGATGATTTCAGTTAAATCACCAGGGGAAACTGTCCAAATTATTCACAGTTGAGTTGCCAGCAGCATTCTTTTCTATCTCGCATAGTAATTTAAAAATTTTAATGTGTTATTGTAATTACATTTATTTGTGTATGTGTATGCATGCTGGGCAGGTATTCATGTGCAAGACAGGCAGGTGGAAGTCAGAGGACAACCCCTGGGAGCTGATTCTTTCCTCCTACCATGTGGATCCCAGGGAGCGAAAGTAGTCTTTAGGCTTGGCTGTAAATGCCCTTACCTGCTGAGCCATCTTACCAACTGCCAACATGTGACCCCTTCCTTCCTTCCTTCCTTCTTTCCTTCCTTCCCTCCTTCCTTCCTTCCTTTCTCTCTTCCTTTTTCTTTAAACTGTATTGTTTTATTTCGTGTGTATGGGTGTGTTTCAGTTAGGGTATCTATTGCTGTGATAAACACCATGATCAAAAGTAACTTGGGGAGAAAAAGGCTTATTTAGCTTCCACTTCCACACACAGTCCACTCTCATCCATGGAAGTCAGGGCAGGAACTCGAGACAGGAATCTGGAGGCAGGAATTGACGCAGAGGACACAAAGGAACTCTGCTTCCTGGATTGCTCCTCTTGACTTGCCCAGACTTACAGCACACTAGATCACCAGCCCAGGAGTGACACTGCCCACAGTGAGCTGTACCCGCCTATACCAATCTTTAATCAAGAAAATGCACCACAGGTTTGCACACAGGCCAGTCTTGTGGGAGCACGTTCTCAGTTGATGCTCCCTCGTCTCAAGGGACTATAGCTTATGGCAAGCTGAAATAAATGTAGCTCGTACGGATCTTTGTCTCCATGAGGCTATGTGCACCATGTGTGTGCCTGGTGCCTGTGGATGCCAGAAGAGGCAGTCAGATCCCTTGGAACTAGAGTTACAGAGTGTTGGGAGCCACTATACAGGTGTTGGGAAGCAGTCAGTGCTTATGACTCCTGTCGTCTCTCCTGCCCTCCTCTCTCTCTCTTTCTCTCAGTTTTGTTTGTTTGTTTAGAGACAGGGTTTGTGTAGCCCTGGCTGCCCTAGAATTTTGTAGAGCAGGCTGGCCTCCAGATCAATGATCTGCCTGCCTCTGCCTCAGACTCTTTGATTAAAGGTGTGCCACCACCGCCTGGCCTGCCTTCATTTTTGTAAAAAAAAATTATTTATTTATTCTTATTTCATACGCATTGGTATTTTGTCTGTGTGCGGGCATCAGATCCCCCAGAACTGCAGTTACAGACAGTTGTGTTCTGCCATGTGAGTGTCATGTTGGAACTGAACCTGGGTCCTCTGGAAGAACAACCAGTTCTCTTAAGTGCTGAGCCATCTCTGCAGTCCCCCGCCCTCGTCTCTTGACGTAACACACCTCCTGTCTACATAGTCTGCTTTGCTCACCTGCTTCCCGCGTCCTTTTTTGTAAGCACCATCTTGGTCTCCCCTCTGCAAACTCAGTTCGTAGCCTGTCGCTCGGCACCAGCCCCGTTGGAGGGATATTGCTCTTGCTTGCCTTTTTAAAAAACAGTTCATTGCCATTCAGCTCCACATACAAAGAGGCATCTGTGTGCATGCCTTCTTGTGACCTGGTGCTGGCATGTTAGTGCCAACCATTGACAACCATTGAGGCAGAACTGTTGCTATTTTATTGCTTGGTCGGTAGAGAGGGCCTTGTAGCCCCTCTCCCACTAAGCTGCATCCCAGCCCCATGGTGTTTAACTCTCCTCTCGTGTGCTTTGTGCCCTGGGCCTCTCTCACAGAGGGAATAGCTGATTTTTCAGCCTTGCTGTGCCCCCTTCCTGCCCAGCACAGGAAGTTACAGGAATACAGGGGAAGTAGGCTCCCAGACTAAAGAAGAGATCTTCCTGTGGGCTGGCACAGAGCAAATTGGTGACCTGCAGCCCAGTTTCTGCCTGACATAATGGGGATAATAATCCGCCACACCTGCACCAGGAGGTTGTTCCCAGGGTTGATGACGGCTTTTTCTCTTCTATAGCTGTGTGGACCTGGATGAACGAGGCTGCCCAGCAGAGCAGAGAGCCAGGTGGGCCTGATCCCCAGAGGTACCCCACTGCCCCTGACTCCTTCATTGACCGGGTGGTCCACAATACAGAGAGGGATTTCCCAACATGCCACATGTGCCTCCCACCTTAGCCCATTGTTTCTCTGTTGACTTGTGTTTCAAGAAGTGGATGAGGACCTGCTCAGGATGCTGCAGGGTAAGGGATGCTAGGAATGTGGCTGGTGTCCCAAGAGGCCCCCTGGTGATGTTTCTTTAGGGACACTGGCCAAGTTCAAGTACCTAAAATTGGAGATAAACTGTGGCGGCATGCAGAACCTCAGTGTTCAAGCTGGGTGGCTGGAGGTTTCCAGGAGGGGGCGCTGTGCTTCCTTTGCTTGTAGGTGGAGGATCAGGCAAGTCTAGAGTAGGGAAGAGATCTCTAGGGTGTGTGCAGTGAGTCACAGAGTGCAGAGGGGTGAAAGTTGAGGCAGTGAGGGCCAGATCTGAAGGGTTCTTGACCACTGGGCCACAGAGGCAAGCTTTGGAAAGGAGAAAAGCAAGCTGGAGTATGCTCTAAAGAGCTGTTTTGGGCTGGAGAGATGACTCAGAGGTTAAGAGCATTGCCTCCTATCCCAAAGGTCCTGAGTTCAATTCCCAGCAACCACATGGTGGCTCACAACCATCTGTAATGGGGTCTGGTGCCCTCTTCTGGCCTGCAGGTATACACACAGAATATTGTATACATAATAAATAAATATTTTAAAAAAGAGCTGTTTGCCCACGAAGCAAACATTCATGAAGTATTTGATATATATAGCAGGCCTTGTGCAGAGCAAGATGGGGTAAAAGGGATCAAGGATGGCTGGGCATGGTGGCACACACCTATGACCCCAGCGTTTGGAAGATGGAGGCACATGCATGTAAGTGCAAAGCCTGCCTGGGCTATTCAATCAAAAAAATAAATAAATGAACAAATAAATCAACAAATAAATGGCCTGATGAATATCGAGGGGCCGTGTGTGCCCCAGAATGAGCAGAATCATAAAAAGATTATATCAAGAAGAAATAGGGGTCCTGGTAATGTGTGTCTTGGGTGCAACAGCCGCAAGGCATGAGGTACCATGACTCCTTGGAGAGGGCTTTGACTAGTACCTTAAAGTCTTGGGGTACACATTCTTGGACCTCACTTTAAGTGTGGCAGAATCCCTGGGGTGGGCACAGTGGAGATTAGCAAGGTCTCTGTGCAATTATCTCCCATGAAGTGGGTTTTTTTGTTGTTGTTTGTATTTTTGGTTGCTTGTTTTTCAAGACAGGGTTTCTCTGTATAGCCTTGGCTGTCCTGGAACTAGCTCTGTAGACCAGGCTGACCTCAGACTCACAGAGATCCACCTGCCTCTTCCTCCCGAGTGCTGAGATTAAGAGCATGTGCCACCCGTCCAACTTCTCATGGTGTTTTTGAGCCAAAGCACATTCCTGTCCCTTTACAGGGTCTCTTCAAATTTCCTCCCTAGACTAGCCCTAATCTCCGATTTTGGTCTCTGCTTTCAGCCCAGCGACATCAATCATCGCAACTGTGGTGGGCATCCTGTTGTTCCTGGTCATAGGGGTGGTTGTTGGGATCCTAATCAAGAGAAGGCGACAGAAGATCCGGAAGTATACAATGCGAAGGCTGCTGCAGGAAACTGAGGTGAGGTGGGGTGAGGGCCTCCTAGCCCCTCCCCCACCTGCGGCTTGCTTGGCCCTCACCCTGCCACCCTCTCATTCCAGCTAGTGGAGCCGCTGACGCCCAGCGGGGCCATGCCCAACCAGGCTCAGATGCGGATCCTCAAAGAGACTGAGCTAAGGAAGGTGAAGGTGCTTGGATCTGGAGCTTTTGGCACCGTCTACAAGGTCAGGAGGGGCCGGGTTCTGGCATGGATGGGTATGGTGGAGGGGGCTGTGCCTGGAGGGGCGTAGTCAAGAGAGAAAAATGGGCCAAGCTGGAGAGGAGAGAGGCTACTCCTCAATGGCTTCTTGAGGGCCCGCTGGATCTGAACCTCCGACCTGACTCAAGTCCTTTTCTTTCTGCTCCAGGGCATCTGGATCCCAGATGGGGAGAATGTGAAAATCCCCGTGGCCATCAAGGTGTTGAGGGAAAACACATCCCCGAAAGCTAACAAAGAAATCCTAGATGTAAGCCCCTTCACCTTCTCCCTTGGGACTTGTGAGAAGCCCCCTAGCTGCATATCTGGGCTGCTTTCTCTTCATTAGGGTTTGAGATGAAGCCCCTAAACCTTGACTCTTCATTTTCCCGGTCTGCAGACCATGCAGGGATGGGAGGGTCTAGGAGGGGAGTATGGTGGGTGGGAGTAGGTGTTTCCTTTATCTCAGTGGACCTTTCCCTGCAGGAAGCGTATGTGATGGCTGGTGTGGGTTCTCCGTATGTGTCACGCCTCCTGGGCATCTGCCTGACATCCACAGTGCAGCTGGTGACACAACTCATGCCCTATGGCTGCCTTCTGGACCATGTCCGAGAACACCGAGGTCGCCTGGGCTCCCAGGACCTGCTCAACTGGTGTGTTCAGATTGCCAAGGTATGTGCTTGGGGGCTTTCTGACCCTGCAGGACCTTTGGGTGTAAATCCCTGTCTTCATCTGGGGCCAGGATGGGGTGGGGGGTGTCAGTAAGGTGAGATCCAGACTCCGGTTCTACACTGGTGCCCATTTTTCAGGGGATGAGCTACCTGGAGGATGTACGGCTTGTGCATAGGGACCTGGCTGCCCGGAATGTGCTGGTCAAGAGTCCCAACCATGTCAAGATTACAGACTTTGGGTTGGCACGGCTGCTGGACATTGATGAGACCGAGTACCATGCAGATGGGGGCAAGGTTGGAGAAGGGAGGGGTGGGGTGGTATCTGGCTGTTGGGGGAACTTTGAGAAGGGTCACGTCCCTACCACACCCATTTAGGACTTTTTACTCTGCATTCCCAGGTACCCATCAAGTGGATGGCATTGGAATCCATTCTTAGACGGCGGTTCACCCATCAGAGCGATGTGTGGAGCTATGGTGTGTGGTGGTGGTGATAGGGAGGGTTGGATGAGTGGCCTTGGCAGGGTGGGATACAGGTACGAGAATGAGGGTGGGTGTGGAGGAGAGGGGGAGGGCTGCTGATGCCCACCCCGTGTTGGCCTGTGCCCACCTGGGGTATGAGGAGACTGGTTGATCCTCCCTTTTGGCTAGCCTCTCTCATTGTGCACCTAAGTTTCCTGTTTCCCCCTCCTGATGCCTGTCTGTCCTAGGTGTGACGGTGTGGGAGCTGATGACATTTGGGGCCAAACCTTACGAAGGGATCCCAGCCCGGGAGATCCCTGACTTGCTGGAAAAGGGAGAACGTTTGCCTCAGCCTCCAATCTGCACTATTGATGTCTACATGATTATGGTCAAATGTGCGTGGTGGGCGGGGCTGAGCCTCAGGTGTAGAGGAGGGGTGGCCTGACCTGTGTGGGGGTTCTGGGGGAGTAAGAGTGAGATGTGAAGGAAGCCTCCAACGATGCTTTGTCCCACTCACAATCAAAGTCCGAGCTGCTCGAGAGGACAGCTGTTGAGGGGAAAGATGCCAGTTTAAAGGGCGCACCTAGGAGAACTCTGGTCCAGGATCCAGAGGCCACTTGTGCTTCTCCGCCATGTGAGGACTTTGGGTTTAGCCAGGGTTGCCTAGGCCAGACTCAGAGGGAGCAGGAAGGGGCCAGGCAGCTGGTCCTCAGTCTGGTCCTGGGATACGGATGTTGAGCTCTCTCCTGTGCTAGGTTGGATGATAGATTCTGAATGTCGCCCAAGATTCCGGGAATTGGTGTCAGAATTCTCCCGCATGGCGAGGGACCCCCAACGCTTTGTGGTCATCCAGGTACTGGGCCTTCCCACATCATCCCTGCCCTAACGGCATCCTCCTTCCTGCAGAGACCTGAGAGGGAAGGGACCTGGATGCCAGTTCCCCAAGCCCAGCCCCCTCCTCTAGTCCAAACGTGGTGAACCTTTCTGGGGAACTTAACGCTGGACTGGGGAAAGGCTGTCATTTGGTGTCTCCTTCCCTAGAACGAGGACTTGGGTCCATCCAGCCCCCTGGACAGCACCTTCTACCGGTCACTGCTCGAGGATGATGACATGGGGGACCTGGTAGATGCCGAAGAGTATCTGGTCCCCCAGCAGGGGTTCTTCTGCCCAGACCCTGCCCCAGGCACTGGGAGCACAGCCCACCGTAGGCACCGCAGCTCGTCTACCAGGGTCAGTGCCCATCTTAGAACAGGCTACCGGGATCCCTTCCCTTGGTGCTCCCTGACATTTACTTTCCCTTAATATTCCATGGTCAGTACTGCTTTCCGACTCTTGGGATTCCATTCCCTTCATAATGATTCCAAGGTGACCTGCGTTTTTCTCCAGGGAACCTATCATTCCCCGCCAGGATCCCCCTCCCAGACCTTTGAGTAACTTCTATCATGACCCTCTCTTACCCCAGAGTGGAGGTGGTGAGCTGACCCTGGGCCTGGAGCCTTCAGAAGAAGAGCCCCCCAGGTCTCCACTGGCTCCCTCGGAAGGGGCTGGCTCTGATGTGTTTGACGGTGACCTGGCAATGGGGGCAACCAAAGGGCTACAGAGCATCTCTCCACACGACCTCAGCCCTCTACAGCGGTACAGCGAGGATCCCACATTACCCCTGCCTGCTGAGAATGATGGCTATGTTGCTCCCCTGACCTGCAGCCCCCAGCCCGGTATGGAATCCAGGCCTGAGAGATTGGGAAGAGGGGTGTTGGGAACCCTCAGGCCACACCCACTGAGGGGCAGCGCTGGGGCAGGGGCATCTAACAGCTCTTCTTTCCTACAGAATATGTGAACCAGCCAGAGGTTCGGCCTCAGCCCCCCTTGACCCCAGAGGGTCCTCTGTCTCCTGTCCGGCCTGCTGCAGCTACTCTAGAAAGACCCAAGACACTCTCTCCTGGGAAGAATGGGGTTGTCAAAGACGTTTTTTCCTTTGGGGGTGCCGTGGAAAACCCTGAGTACTTAGCACCCAGAGGAGGCACTGCCTCTCAACCTCACCCTTCTCCTGCCTTCTGCCCAGCTTTTGACAACCTCTATTACTGGGACCAGAACCCATCAGAGAAGGGGTCTCCACCAAGCACCTTTGAAGGAACCCCTACGGCAGAGAACCCTGAGTACCTGGGCCTGGATGTGCCCGTGTGAGGTTACATCTGCAGAGACCCTGTGCTGCCTTCAAAGGGAGGGAAACCCGGCTTGTGCTCTCCATGACCGCAGAGCAGGGAGAGGTCCTCTGGCCACATCACATCCAGGGCAGCCTGCTGTGTCAGGAACCCACCCTATGGAGCCTTTCTTGCTGCTTGAATCCTGAGTGGTTGAGAGGGGCCATATAGCTGGAAGAGACGGCACACTGGACAGCCTCAGTGGATCCCAGACTCTGCCCTGACAGTCCGTAGGGTCCAGTGGATATTACAGTCATGGCTTCTCGCTTGGTTCTGAGGACTGAGGGAAGCTCAGCCAAGAAGGGAAGAGGCCCCAAGCAAGTATCTTGGGAACAGCACAACCCACTAGGACTGAGTTGTGCGTGCATCCCAAGAGGCAAGGGATTGCGCTGGCATCCAGACCATCCTTGTACAGAGTGTATTTTGTTCTGTTTTTACTTTTGTTTTTTAAAGATGAAATAAGGACACCGTGGGAGAGTGGCTATTATATGGAAGTTAGGGAGTGGTGTCCCTCTTTGTCCATTTGCAGTGAGATTTGTAAAATAGCAAGGAGCCAGCCTATGTCTGGGAGTGGCTGAGCCAGGCCTTCCTGCTCACCTGACACACGGCTCTCCCTCCAGTGAGTGGGTAGTTTGAGGTGGTATGGTTTTGGGCTGGGGGATTCCTTTCTGAGGACCCTTTGGCAACAGGGTCATTCTCCATTGGACATACTCATTCCAAGGCCATCACCAGAATGAGGTCCTCTCCCTCATATAGGGGGAAAGTAAAGTGAGGGAAGGGCTGTCTGTGTGCCTCATCTTCCTTGCCTAAGAGAGCTGCCTCTGTCCAGAGAAGGCCAACCCAGTAGGTGTTAACAGGTCCAGACTGACCTCCATGCTCCCCCAGGCTGGACATAAACACACACCAGTTGGCACAAGTGTTTGTAGCGCTAATTGCTCTTTATTGCCAATAGCTGACACTGCCCAGGACTCGGGGAAAATAAGTTACAGCAACTGTGGCATGTGACAGGAACTGCCAAGCTGGGGAGAGGACCGAGCTGCAGAGGGCACCGATCTCGGGAGAGGGGTATGAGATGGTCGTGGAAATGTCCACAGAGAACATCTCTTTTCTGCCTCCAACACCATAGAAATGTCTAGTCCCTCCTTGTGCCCAAAGGGGCTAAGTGGAGGTCAGGGTGTTAGCTACGTGGAGCTAAGTGAGGGGCAAAAGGCAGAGGAAGTTCCTAGTGGAGCCCCGAGGAAACAGGTTTGAGCCCCAGAACCAAGCTTCCGAGAATCGCGTGTTGTCACAGGATGACACAGGGAGGCCGGCTATTGGTGATTTTTTCTAAAGGCTCTCCGTTGCTGGCTCTTCGGATGGCCTCGATGAGCTAGAGGGCAGAGACAGGGGCAAGTGTTAAGCCTAGGAGAGGAGGGTGTGCCTCAGCCATGCTTCCAGTGCTGCCGATACTCACATCTTTCTCATAAGGAAAACCCCCATTCTCCAGCTTGGAGAACACCAGCTGTCCATTGATCTCAATCTCAAAGGCCCCTGGTATGAAATAAATGCAAGAGTGAGCTAAAAACAGGCAGACATCCAGGGAGGTCCTTGGCACTCCAGAGACTACAAGCAAGACGGTGCATGGTCTCCGCCGACACCATGTGTGACCCGGGTTTTAGATCCTTAAGCCAATCGGCCCAAGAACCTAGGGAAGACTCACCTGCGTGTCCCTCCATCACGCCATTTAAGGGCTTTCACTCCAAACCCACACTAGGCATTTTCAATGTGCCAGACCCTGCTAGGGGGTTTATACACAGTCAGCTCTAGAAGGCAGGAGAGCGGGGGTTTATAATACCGACTGACTCAGCAGGTGCTCTGCGGACCTCACCTGTTCCGCCGAGTCGCGACTCAATCTCGATGCCCGGATATTCCTCCTTCACGGCGCTCGCCAGCTCCAGGTAGGTCGCCTCAAAGCCGCAGGGTTCACTGGGGAGAAGAGACGTGGGGTGAGCTGGGGCTCCGGGGGTGGGGCCTCCCGTGGACCCACCCCCATCTTGCCGGCGAACACAGGGCTCCTTTTCAGACCCGGTGGCTCACCAGTACTCCACCACGATGTGGACTCCACTGCCTGCTTCCACCTCCCCGGGAGGGGGCACTACGGACACCTGTCCTGGCTCCCCACTCATTGCTGCCCGCTCCGCTGCAGGGCTGCTTCCGGGTGTGACGTCAGACCAAGATCACGTGAGGGGCGTGGTCATGGGCGTGATGGACCTCTCCCTGCGTCTGGGCGCCCCCTGCAGTTACCAGATACCGCTGCTGCATCTTGATCCTGTGCGCAGCTGGAGAGCGAGTATCCCGGACTCAGCTGGGCAAACCTATCCAAACCCTCACTTCCCTGGTCTGGGTTTTGAGAGCCCTGCGTTTCTTCGACATCCGTTGCTCACTGGACGTCATGGATTTGCTAAAATAACGAACTGCCTCTGATTGCAAAGCTTTTTTCCATTTACAAAAGACAGAGAAAATGGGGCAAGCATATAAGGATGGGGCTGAAGTAGCTGATAGTTTGTGATTGTTGTTATTTCTCGCTAGCATGATGATATTTGAAACCAGCCCTTAGTTACATGCTTGAGTTCTTTTTTTTGTAACTTTTATATTTTGATTATGTGAGTGTGGATTTGTGCATGTGAGGGCGTCTCTTAAAACTTTTATTACTTTATTTATTAATTTGCGTATGAGTGTGTATTGGAGGTGGGGGCCGTGCCATGCAGCATACTTGTGAAGGTCAGAGCACAGTTCTTAGGAGTCGGTCTCCTTCCATCCTGTGGGTTCCAGGGATTGGACCCAGACTGTCAGACTCTGTTGCAAATGTCTTTACAGGTTCAGCCACACGTTAGCCCAACATTCTAGTTCTCTGGACTCTAAATTGCCAAGTGGTGCCCTTTCCAAACCTTTAACTCTTTCCTGCAACTAAAGGAGAGGAAGTACATGTTCCTCAGGCTATCCTTCCTCGTGGGCACCCACCTTTTGCACACCCATCGCACCCTAGCCTCTCGATAGAAGGCTAGTGTCATCATACCCAGTGTGTAATTCTGGAAGAGGAGGCAGCCTGGGGTCTTCCTTGCCTCTTCTTTCCCTGAAGCATCACAGTATCGTAACAAGGCACCCATTCTGGTGTCTCTTTAAACTGTTCGTTGTTTGCTCAATTTTTGTTTGTTGGGTTCTGTCATCATTGTTTCCATCAATCTAAGAAGGCCCTTCCTATTTGCTTGCTGTCCATTCAGCTTCCAGCTCCAGTCCTGAGCAATCACCAATCCGCTCTCTGTGTTCTTTTCTGGATATTTCACATGAATGGATTCATACAACACGCGGCTTTTACTCTGGTTTCTTTCTGAACGAGCTTCACTCCAGTGGTGACCAGAGTTCCTTTTTATTGATGAGTCGTATTTCATTCCATTGTGTAGACAGAGCACAGTTACTATCTATTGACATTAATTTGGATTTCTTTGGTTTTTGACTGTTTTGAATGATGCTGCTATAAATGTAATGTCTTTTTGTGGATGTGTGCACCATTTCACTTTGGTAGAATTCCTAGGAGTAGAATTATTGGACTACCCGGGAAATCTATATTTAACTCTTTATGAAGTTGCCTACCTGTTAGTTTTTCCCAAGCAGCTGTCTCATTTTATTCTACCAACAACAATACAGTACACAGGGATTTGTCTCCTTCTAGCCACTGCACAGATTGGTTTCCTGTGTCTTTGATGATACCTATTCTGGTAGGTAATGTTATTGGCCATCTTTTCAGGTGCTCAGTAGCCATTCAAACATATTACTGGAAATAGAAACATTCATTTGGTTTTTCTTTTTCTTTCTTTTTTTAATTTTTGGTTTTTCAAGACAGGGTTTCTCTGTGTAGCCCTGGCCTGTCCCAGAACTCACTCTATAGACCAAGCTGCCCTCTAGCACAAGAGATCCACTGACCTCTGCCTCCTGGGTGCTGCATTAAAGGCCTGTGCCTCCACCACCTGGTCAATTTTGTTTTGTTTTTGAAATGGGTCTCACTATGTAGGTCTAACTGGCCTGGAACTCCCTATGTAGACCAGGCTGGCCTCGAACTCACTGAGATCTGCCTGTCTCTGCCTCCCGAGTGCTGGGATTAAAGGCACGCACCACCACCACCCAACTTTTTTAAAAAAAAATATACATAGTCTATATAAAATATCTATAATGAAATAAATGAAATGGATAATTTACAAGTATTTTTTTGGTTTTTGCAACATATACATTCTAAATTAATACAGTCATTTAAAATTGTTTTCTTGGGGCTCGAGAGATGGCTCAACGGTTAAGAACTCTGACTATTCTTCCAGAGGACCGGGGTTCAATTCCCAGCAACCACATGGCAGCTTACCACTGTCTGAAAATCCAGTTCCAGGGATCTGACACCTTCACACCGATTCACATAAAATAAAGTTAAATAAATAATAAAAAACCCAAAAAAAAAACCCCACATCATCTCATGGGGATTTATAGTTACTGAAAAAAAATTTTCCTTTAAAAAAATTCATTGCAATATATTGTTCATCTGGATATAATTGTTCATTTCTGAATTAATTGTTTCAGACTTGTGAAAGTAAATATTTATGTTGGTATTTAATATTTTCTGATACTTTATCACAATAAAATCATAAATAATAATACATAAAAAAAATTCATTGCACTGGGTGGTGGTGGCACATGCCCTTAATCCCAACACTCAGGAGGCAGAGGCAGGCAGATCTCTGTGAATTCAAGACCAACCTGCTCTAAAAAGTGAGTTCCAGGACAGCCAGGACTGTTATGCAGAGAAACCCTGTCCCCAAAAACTAAAAAAGAAAAAAAAATCCTTTGTAAGCCTAGTGGTGACACATGACTTTGATCCTAGCACTTGGAAGGCAGAGTCAGGTCGATCGCTGAGTTCAAGGCCAGCCTGATCTACACAGTGAGTTCTAGGATAGCCAGAGCTACACAGAGAAAATCAGTCTTGAAAAAACAAAATGAGTAAATAAATCAATATAAAAAATCCTTTGCATAACTCAATACTACAGACTTTCCATCCTTCATTGTTATTTATTTAATTTTTGCTTTTGATGTTCTATTGTGACTTTACTATTTTATAGGTTCAATTTTGTTGTTTAGATTTATGATCTATTTTTTCTTGTTTTGTTTTGAAACAGGGTCTTTTTATATAACCTGACTGCCCTGGAACTTATTATGTAGACCAGGCTAACCTTGAACTCATAAAGATCCACTTACTTCTTTCTGGCTTCCGAGTGCTGGAATTAAAGGCATACGCTACCATGCCTGGCTATGATTCATGTTTAATGATTGTTTTTATTTACATGTGTGATGTGTCCGGTAATATATACAGCTGCCTATGGAGGCCACAAGAGGGCATCAGATCCCCTGGAGCTGGAATTTCAGGCAGGTGTGAACCCCATCGGGTGGTAAGTGATGGGAACTGAACTCAGGTTCTCTGAAGAGCAGCAAATGCTCTTAACCACTGAGCCATTTCTACAGCCCTTTAGGATTTATTTAGAATTATTTTTGTGCATCATGGGAAGTAAAGAGCTAAATTAAAACTTTCGGTATGGGGAGCTGGAGAGATGGCTCAGAGGTTAAGAGCACTCTGGCTGTTCCTCTAGAGGCCCTGAGTTCACAACCGTCTGTAATGAGATCTGGTGCCCTCTTCTGGAGTGCAGGCACACATGCAGACAGAACACTGTATACATAATAAGTAAATCTTTAAAAAAATTTTTTTCGAAACTTTTGGTATGTAAGTATTAGACCGTCACAGTGCCATTCAGTTAAAATACGCTTCTCTATCGAGTACTGTGACACATGCCTGCAGCCTGAGCTACTTGGGAGACACAAGAGGACTGTTTGAATTCAAGAACATTCTGGGCAATATAGCAAAACGCTGACTCAAAAGATCCTATCTGTTTATTTAATAGCTTTATCAAAAAGCTACTGTCTGGCTGAAGAGATGGCCCAGAGGTCCTGAGTTCAATTCCCAGTCACCACATGATGGCTCACAACCATCTATGAGATCCGGTGCCCTCTTCTGCCCTGCAGGCATACATGCAGAAAGGACATTATACACATAATACATAAATCTTAAATAAATAAATAAGCATGCAGGAAAAAAAAGCTACTCTCTCCAGATATGGTGGCACACACCTTCAATTCCAGCACTCAGGAGGCAGAGGTAGGTAGATCTCTGTGTGTTCGAGGCCAGCCTGGTCCAGAAATCAAGTTCTAGGACAGGTAGGGTTGTTACACAGAGAAACCCTGTATCAAAAAAAAAAAAAAAGCCACTGATACATTGGTGTAGAAACATAAAGTTTTGTATTTGGACTCTTAATGCTTTTCCTTGATCAATACAGATGGCTCCTCGAATTTTTAACTTTACAGTGCTGTATACTTGATTACTTGATACAGATTCAACAGAAACTGGACTTTGACATTTGGTAGTTTAGTTATAAAGTACATTTTCCAGTCAAGGTATTTTAAAATGATAAAAGCATTCATTACGAGTATGTGTGTATGTGTATACATCAATACCACAGTGTCCACATGGAGGTCAGAGGTGGACTTTTGGGAGTCCCCCCTTCACCATGTGGTCCCTGAGAACTGAACTTGGGCTGTCAGGCTTGCAGCAAGCATCGCTACCTGGTGAGCCATCTCCCAGGCTTCTTCAAATCAAGGTGTTTCGTGAGGGCATTTAAGTCTCTAACCCCAGCAGAGGCAGGAGGGGGGGTCTTAAGTTTAGGACTAGCTTCAGTTAGGGAGGGAGTTTGAGGCTGGCGAAGATTACATATATAGCAAGACCCCAAGGTGCCGATTTGGAAAGCACCTTTCCAAATGGACTGGAGAAGTGGTGAGCTGCGTTGCTGTAGCCAAGGACCTGGGTTCGGTTCCCAGCACCTACATAGTGCTGCATAACAGGGGATCGGACGCCCTTCTCTGGCCTCCTTGGGCACCAGTCAACAATGTGGTCTGCTTAAATACATGCACGCAAACACAAACACATAAAAAAATTTTGTTGTTGTTGTTGCAAAAGGAATGCAACAACAAAAACTAGATTTTGTCCAGATGTAATAACACCATAAGACAAGGGACAGCAGTAAATTGGTTCCCTCTTGTGTGTCTTTTAGTTTTGCCTAGTTGGAGATACTCTTGTTATGGTATACCTCAATCTGGCCTTGAACTCTCAATTCTCCTGAGTATTGGGATTACACATTCACCTTGTGGCGACTTTTATCCTAAATTTAAATTAACTTATATATATTTAAAGTTTCTCTTCTATGGGCAAGATAGCTGGGCAATTAAAGGCACCTAATGCTAATGTGTGACACACAGCCCCCATTTTCTCCACACAAACAAAATGCAATAGTTGTGTAAGGAACTTTCAGTGGATCCGACACATCGCCTTATGCATCTACCTTGTAAGGTCCCAGACAGAATGGCTCCCAAGCTCCTACTAGCCTTTGTCCCACCCTGGTAGCACCTCTTGTCTCCTCCCTGAGGCTTCAGATCTGCCCTGTCCCCTTATAGTCCTACTTCCTCTCAATGGAATCCTGGGGCCTGAGAGAGGTGGCTCAGGGGCTAAGAGCACTTCATGATTTTCCAGAGGATCAAACTACCGTAACTCCAGCTGTGAGAGATCTGCAGGAACCCACACACTGTAACACGCACACAGGCATTCACACATAAATAAGAAAAATCTTTCTTAAGGAAAGAAATGGAATTCTACGTCACTCGGTCTGGCTTCCCTCCAGCCTTCAACATCCTGAGGGATCCACAATGATCTTTCCAAGTGCAGGGCTCTGTGTCTCTCCTTGGGACCAGATACAACCTGTAGGGTCTGGCTTCTGCCCACCACTCCTGCCAGTCTGGACAAACAGGATGGATGGCTCTCAAAACTGGTTTGCAAAACAGCCACCCGAGGGCTGGTCAATACCACACATTCCTGGGGCTCTACCTCAGAGATGTAGACTCCTGCTGAGGAGGGGCCCAAGGATCCGTGTTTTCCATAGCAGCTTGTGAGACATGGAGGCCGGGTTCCCGCCTTTTAAGAACTGCGAGGCTTTCCTCCACCCTCTCAACCTGCACAACCTGCCCAGGCTCACCGGCGGCGTGGCCGCTTTTTCTGTCCACCCCCACTCTCTTAGCTCTGCGTTCCGTGTTCCCGCCTAGCAGCGTCGTCAGTGTTTGTTCCTTCACCATGGATGGTTAACCCTTCTTGTTCCCATCCCCAGGCGGCAGCTCCTCGGCTTTCCTTCACTTCCACAGGAAGAAGGCCTTCCCTGCCAGCCAGCTGTGAGTCACTCACCTGGCATACTTGTCCCTTGTCATTTCGTATTTGTGTGGCTCTTAAAGGTCAGTCTCCCTGACTGGGTTGCAGCAGGTTAAGGGCGGGTCTGTTTTTGTTGTTCCCAAAGCCCGGATCTGCTAGCTGCTTCCATGGTGGTTGGATATGATACCTCCTGCGCGGTTTTTTTTTTTTTTTTTTAGTTCAAACTGCTTCCCTGAACAAGTTACTGAGCCCCCTTCCCCGTGTCTTTGCTCTTTGCTTTTCACCATTCATACTAAATCTTTTGTTTTTCTTCCTTCGTTTTTGTTTGTTTTTGTTTCTGTTTTTGCTTTTTTTGAGACAATGTTTCTCTGTATAGTCCTCCCTGTCCTGGGACTTGCCATGTAGATCAGGTTGGTATAGAACGCTCAGAGATCCACCAGCCTCGGCCTTTAGAGTGCTGGGATTAAAGGCGTGCACCTCCATAGCCGGCTTTTCAAGCGAAAAGTTGAGGCTGCGCTTCCTCCGGGCCGACCCCTTATCAACCCGTGTCTTGTTTATTTTTCTTAACTGTCACCCACAGGAAGCTGGGAGGTGGCCCGCTGTCTTTGATCCCGGTCTCTCAGCCCCTCTTTCTGATCCCCCGATGTTTGCTGAGGGGCTGACCTAGAAGGCTGAAGTTACTGTTCTAACAGGAATCTATCTCTTGCACTGGCTCACAACAGTCGCCAGATCCCCGTGGCTCCTCCCACTAGGCCACTTTGCCACTCTTAGATTTGAAACTGGGTAAGTCAGACCCTAGCCTTGACTCGGAAGGGAGGGTGTACTTTGGGTCTCTCAGAGGGGCCAGGGCAATAGCCTGGGTGGCTAGACTGTGGCTGGAGGTCAAAGGGCAGAGCATCTCTTCAGGCTTCCCTCTTAAGCAGAGTGCCCTTTGTCCTGGCTGGGGGTGGGGGGATGGGGGTGAGCATAAGACGGCCCCTTAGCTTGACCAATGAACTGACCCTCATCAAGGGACGAGTAGAAGTGGGCGGGACCATTTCTTATCTAACAAACAGCCACCAGACTAGATTTTTCTCTTTCCAGCCAGTTCTTTTTGACTCTTCCCTGCCTCTCTCTAGGCACCTGCTCTCTCTCCTGGCACCTGCTGCCCAGTAGGAAGGGCAAGAACAATCCCAGGCGGTGCATTTGTGAGGAGTCTCCACCCCTCCTCCAGCGCTTCCTTCTCCAGGGCGCCTCTTAGGCCCCGCCCTCACCTGCCCAAGATAATTTTAGTTTCCCTGAGCCTGGAATCTGGATACGCAAGGTTCTCTCCATATTCTCCCGCCTCACCATCCAAAGGCGTGATACCCTCCAACCACCAGTAGAGAAGAGAGAGTGGATTTGAAATCAAATCCAAGCGCTTGGGATCCCTAGACAGAGCCTCACTTTTGCGCCCGGTATCCGGCTCCTTCTACTGGAGTTTCTCCAGGTAAGGCGACCAAGATCGGTCTCAGACAATTTACTCCTACCCCCAGCCTCACCAGGGCCTCAGGTTGTGCCCGCCTCGGGCTGATCTGGCCCGCTGCCCAGGTAGATGGCTCGGAGGCTGCCAAGACCCCCACCCCCATGTCCTCGCTTGGTGAGGTCAGGCCACAGGCGCGCGCGGGGAGGGGGGAGGCGGTAGTTAAGGCCTGGAGTCTTTTTCCCTAAACCGGTGGCCCCCAGGCAGGTGTGCGGACTTTCAAAGTCTGGGTAAGAAACGAAGCAGGAACTTCATCTTTGTGGTGGGCTGCAGGTTAGGGCTGGGTGCCTAAGGAAAGATTCATTCTCCTGATGCTCGCTAGCGTCTTCACTGTGCTGTTTTGTTTGTTTGTTGCTCAGCATCTCGAATCTTTCGCCCTCCTCATCTTGCTCCCCCCAGGCCTCCCGTGTTTTGGTTTTGTGCTCCTCACACTCCCTCCTTCTCTCCCAGGGAATTCGTGAGTGGGAGGTAGGGTCTCAGTCACCTCCGGAAATCTGGACTTTCCGGCTAAAACTAGTTCTTTCTACTCAGGATCTGCTAGTTGGGGGTGGAGGGATCCGGAGGTGGCCCTTCACTACCTTGCTGAGCTCAGTTTCCTACAATCTGGGGTTCCCATTTGGAGGGAGGAAAGGAGAGGGACTCCCGCAATGGGTGGAACTCCGCCCCTCCACGTCCTTGTGCCACCCGGCGGGCTGAGGAGCCCTGGCTGCGGATTCTAGTGGACAAAGAAAACTGGAGGCGCCGGTGCTGTGAGAAGGGTCTGCAGGGCAGGGGCAGGATGAGAGTGTGTGGCGGGTCGTGTGGGCCTGCCTTGAGGCTGACGCTGGGGGGAGACCAAGGCCTTGGTCCTCTTGGCAGGAGGGGACAGAGTGCACCTGAGGGCCAGATGGTAGTATTTTCGGCCTTTTTTGCCCTTGCCCCCCAAGAATGTAACGCCTCCTGGTTACTAGCTTGGACTCTGCTCTCCCTCGTGTGTGTGTGTGTGTGTGTGTGTGTGTGTGTGTGTGTTGTATACCTCCCCAAAGGCAAAATAATGATTAACTAACTCTTCAGGGAACTCAAGCATTCTTCCCAAATTAAACATTAAAAGAGTTGTCCCGCCCCCCTTTATTCCATTGGATTTTTTTTTCTTGAGCGGAGTGGGCGGAGCATCAACTTCGGGTCAACTAAGGGTTTCCTACCTCCTCATCTGGTCCCAGCACCCCTAAAGGTTAAGCCCCTTCTTCCCTCTCTAAGTCCTGAGGGGAGGTTGGCTTGGTTGTCCTGGACCAGAACCGGACAGACCTCAGGCTGGCCGGGCTACTAGCTCACCAAGCCCTCCCCTAAACCTGGGAAGAGTGGATGGTGGCCTTGTTTGCTGTTGGCTCCCAAACATTTAGGCCCTGCCACTTGCCTTGGGGTTTGCTAGGTGGGGCAAGATTCAGGAAGTAAACAAGGCAGCTGGGAGGGTAGGAGGGAGGGTGGGGCAGGAGAACCAGGGCTGGAGTAGCCTGGTTGGGAGGACTAGTTGGTTGGGGGACCAATTTCTCCAACGGAAGCTTGGCTTAGGCCCTAGTTTGAATGTTTCAGGTGTCTTGGGCAGGGGCTGCTGGGCCCACAGCGGGCTCCTCTCCCCATCTTATCTTTTAGGTACCTGACTGCTTTTAGCCTTCTCCAGCTGAAGGGTGGGGTGGAGGGATCTGGAAGCTCACCCTAGCCAGTCTGCTCCTGGGCTTCTGACATTAGACCGCAACCTGACTTGAATCTACTACCTCTCCTTTCAAACACCTGTTCAGCTGAGTGTTGTTTTCTCACCTTGAGGGAGGGGCCCCCTGGCAGAGACACCCCCCCCCATCTTTCCCTGAAATGAAGGTCAAATGGGTGGGAGTGGGTGCCCGGTGTTGATGCCCCTTGCTTGGTGTCTTGAGGATGCTAAGTGTCAGGTGTGTCTTGCTTATTCTTTTTTTTGTTTGTTTGTTTGTTTCGTTTTGTTTTTTGAGATAGGGTTTCTCTGTAGCTTTGGAGCCTGTCCTGGCACTAGCTCTTGTAGACCAGGCTGGCCTTAACTCACAGATCGGCCTGCCTCTGCCTCCTGAGTGGAGTGCTAGGATTAAAGGTGTGCGCCACCACCGTCTGGCCCTCTTGGGTATTTTAACTCCTGTCTTGCCCCTCAGGTCAGGACATCCCAGAGACCCTCTTCCACAGAGCAATACACAGGAGTCCCCAAGGCCAGATGCGTCACCTACACCCTCAGGGTAGTTAACAGCAAAGAGAGTTGTAGGTTCCAGACCCAGGCTCGGTAGGTCTGGATGATGCTTGCACACCACCGGGAGGTGGGCTCCAGTCCTGATAGGCTCTCTGATCCAGGCCGGGCATTTCCTCCCACCTCCTGGGTTATAGGCAGGGTGATATTTTGGTACTCAGGTGGGCAGAAGACAATTAGTCCCACCTGGACTGGACACTGGCCAAGGGTGGGGAGGGTGATGTCAGAGGAGCCTCGGGCTGCTCCTCCCCACATCTTCATCTTTCTCCAGTTTGCACCCCTTGCTCCCAGGTTACCTGTAAGTTGGGGAGTCAGGGACTGAGGGCAGAGGCAGGTTGTTTGTGTTCCTCCTCAGCCAGGAAGTCCTATGGATGAGTCAAAGTTGAATGGAGAGCCAGAGGCATAGCTGACCCGCCCCGCCCTGACTCACCTGACCCCCAGATTCCTTCACGGCCTCTCAAAAGGGTCAAATGTTTGTCCTATCCCGGTGCAGGGAACCTTCCCAGGTGTTCTGGGCAGTCTCACAGTCCTGGGGCATGGTCTGGAGAACAGGCAGGATGCTAGGATTGGTATTTTGTTTGGGTCCTGCCTGGTTCAGCACCATGGGGTCTGCTGATTCCTGCAGAGAAAGGCTGGGACCCCTCCCCCTTGTCTCTGCCTGGTCTCGCCTGTCGCTACTTGTCCTAGCTTCTTTGCACCCGTGGGCGCTAAGGCATAGGTGAGACTCTGGTGTGTGTGCCAGGTGCTTTCAGACCAGAGCTGGGATAAGACAGGTGCACAATAATGGGGCAGAGTTCCCAGCACGAGGCTGAGTGTGGCAAGACTAAGAGGACTTCTCATACCTGTGAGGTAGCTTTAGCATGGAAACTTCAGGGAAAAGCTGGGCAGGATGCAGAGGGCCTGGGAAGGCCCACAGAGTTTGGAGCTGCTGGGGTAAAAGCCCTCCCAGAGTAGGCCTTCTGTCCCCTCAACAACCTGAGCACGCAGGTCCTGCCCTCCCGATTCCTGTCCTTCCTCACCGCCTCTCGGTGTCACTCATCACCCCGCCAGGTGTTACCACAACAGGCTTGGCAACTGCTTCTGGCAGCAAAGTGCTAGAAAAATCTGGGGCAGAGCCCAGTGCAATGAGCAACCTTTGCCCTGACCCTGTGGCTGCAGCTAGGGGCATTTGGCATGGAGCCTCCCTGAGCTTTCTCCTGAGCTGCTTTCGCTGGAGGAGGGACACTGGCATCGGAATCCCAAGCATCAGACCGACAACTCCTGGGCACATGCATGCTTCCTTCCCAGGATCCCAGTGTCCCTTTCTATAAAGTGGGCATGTCCTGTTGGGCTCTGAGGGCCCTGACGAAGCTGCGGTTTGAAGGGATCGGTGACAGCACATGGTGTCAGCAGGTCTACCTTGCTTTCACAGCTGCCATGGAACTGGACCTGAGCCCACCTCATCTCAGCAGCTCCCCGGAAGATGTGTGCCCAGCTCCTGGGACCCCTCCTGAGACTCCTCCGCCCCCGGATAACCCTCCGCCAGGGGATGTGAAGCGGTCCCAGCCTCTGCCCATCCCAAGCGGCAGGTAGGATAGGGCAGTGAGCTGTATTGGTAGGGAGGGCTGGGGACAGGGAGGTGAGCCAGCACTGGCTAACGCATAGGGGCTTCCATCCCTCAACTCTGCCATAGGAAACTCCGAGAAGAGGAGCTTCAGGCGACCTCTTTACCCTCCATCCCCAACCCCTTCCCCGAGCTCTGCAGCCCACCTTCACAGAAACCTATTCTTGGGGGTTCCTCCGGTGCAAGGGGGTTGCTTCCTCGAGATTCCGGTCGCCTCCACGTGAGTTGTTTGGGGAAAAGGGAAAAATAGGGACAGAGCTGCCCCAGCCCTGGCCAGATGTGGTGGTGTCTCTTTGATGTAGGTGGAGTATCTTGGTCCCTGAAAATAGTACAAGTCAGAGAGTAGACCCCCCCCCCCCGCCGGCATTACCCCAAGTCACCTGCGGTTCCTGGGGTGCAGGTGGTGAAGGTGTACAGCGAAGATGGGGCCTGCCGGTCTGTGGAGGTGGCAGCAGAGGCCACAGCTCGCCACGTGTGTGAAATGCTGGTGCAGCGAGCGCATGCCCTGAGCGACGAGAGCTGGGGCCTGGTAGAGTGCCACCCCTACTTAGCACTGGGTGAGTTGGGGCACAAGGAGCCTCGGGGCAGTGTCTTGGGCAAGACTGGTGGCTCATCTATGAGGCTTGGTTAATCTCTACCAACCCCTGCCTTTTCCCCGTTGGTCTCAGAGCGGGGTGTGGAGGACCATGAGTTCGTGGTGGAAGTGCAGGAGGCCTGGCCTGTTGGTGGAGATAGTCGCTTTGTCTTCCGCAAAAACTTCGCCAAGTATGAACTGTTCAAGAGCCCCCCAGTGAGTGAGAACCTGGGTGTGCACACATACACATACCCTCTGCATCCCCAGCCTGAATTCTTGACCTTTGATGCCTGACTCCTTTCTTTCCCAGCATACCCTGTTCCCAGAAAAGATGGTCTCCAGCTGTCTGGATGCACAAACAGGCATATCCCATGAAGACCTCATCCAGGTGAGGTCTTCACTAGGGATCCACGAACCGCCCCCCTCCCAGAGTCCTCCATTGTTCCTACCTGCTGCTGCCTTGTGTTCTGATCACCCTGGTGACCTTGCCAGTGAACCGGTGGCAGTCACTGCTGGTGCTGCTCCTCCTGCAGAGGTCTGAGAGGAGGCCTGAGAGGAGGCGAGCCTTTCACCACCTGTTCACATCTGTCCCCAGAACTTCCTGAACGCCGGCAGCTTCCCCGAGATCCAGGGCTTCCTGCAGCTTCGGGGCTCAGGCCGGGGGTCAGGCCGAAAGCTTTGGAAACGATTTTTCTGCTTTCTGCGTCGTTCTGGCCTCTATTACTCCACCAAGGGCACCTCCAAGGTGAGGTTGGAGGGTCAGCGCTAGCCTGTCATGTCCTCACTGTTATTCTGAGGCCCTTCCACCCTTGGGCTGGCTGTCTTCAGGTCATGCCTGGCATCTATTTACCCCAACCCCTGTTTGGCTCACCAATACTAGGTAGGAATGGAGGCAGAAAAGACAGGGAACTTGAATTTGCCTCTGGTGTGTGTGTGTGTGTGTGTGTGAATGTCAGCGGTCAGTCTCAGGTGGACTTCCTCGGGAGCTGTCTACCTTCTTTTTGAAGACAGGGTCCCTACTAGGACCTAGGACTTGCAGATTAGGTTAGGCTGACTGGCGGGAGAGCCCCAAGAACCTTCCTGTCCCCACACTGGGATCAGCAGAGTGTGTCGCATTACATCCAGCCCTTTAGGTGGGAGCTGGGGATTAAACTCTAAACTCAGGCCCTGCTGCTTGCACAGCCAGCTCTTTACCAGCTGAGCCATCTCCTCGGCCTTCCGCCTTCATCTGCTGTGCATGATGGGTATTTCCCTGCCTCTCCCTGGTCCTAAAATCTCCTTACCTGGTGGACGCTCATGCGGAGATAGGGCCTACCTGTACCAAGTCCCACTTTCTCACGATGCCCAGGACCCGAGGCACCTGCAGTATGTGGCTGATGTGAATGAGTCTAATGCGTACGTGGTGACCCAGGGCCGCAAGCTCTATGGGATGCCTACGGACTTTGGCTTCTGTGTCAAGGTGAGGGCTTAAGTCTGGTCTGGTTTGGGGGTTGGCTTTGGAACCCCATCTTGAGGAACCTGGCCTATTCTGGCCTGCGCATTTGGATAGTCCTTGGGTCCTTCACTGCCCTGTGGCAGCTGGGCACAGAATCAGACAGGGGACAGCCCACTTCCTCTCCCCCAGCCCAACAAGCTTCGAAATGGCCACAAGGGGCTCCACATCTTCTGCAGTGAGGACGAGCAGAGCAGAACCTGCTGGCTGACTGCCTTCCGTCTCTTCAAGGTAAGACCCGAACAAGGGGGGGGGGCTAGCCTTGCCTGAGGGAGGTGGCATAGCGCTGCCTTCAGGAAATCTTCCTAGTTAAGAGATCACCATGGTGGTGGTGGAGGGGGCGTCTGAGAATATCTGTCAGGAAGGGTTCAGCCCTGTGCTCTGGAAAAATCTGGCCTGAGGGGTGTCACGGCCCATCTGCTCCGCTCTCTTGACCTCAGACCTTTTTCTTCCCTTGCCTCCAGTATGGGGTGCAGTTATATAAGAATTATCAGCAAACTCAATCTCGTCACCTACGCCTATCCTTTTTGGGGTCTCCTCCTTTGGTGAGTATTCTCAGGGGTGTTAGGGAAGGTGGGGATACAGGCTCAGGGCAGCTATTCTGACCCCTTCCCTCCTCCTCCTTCTGTTCTCTTCCCAGAGGAGCATTTCGGATAATACCCTAGTGGCCATGGACTTCTCTGGCCATGCTGGGCGTGTCATTGAGAACCCCCGAGAAGCTTTGAATGCCGCCATGGAGGAGGCCCAGGCTTGGAGGGTAAGGGCATCTTGTATGCATGCATCTGTGTGTCTGTGTGTCTGCTGCATCAGTGCCCAAGGGGCTTTCATGGAGTGGGAGGGAGGAAGAGGGGTTGGGGAGGTGGTGGATGCCAATGACACCCAATGTCAATGGGATCCCATGCCCCCCACTGCAGAAGAAGACAAACCACCGCCTCAGCCTGCCCACCCCATGCTCTGGGTCAAGTCTCAGCACAGGTGGGTGGTGGTCTAGGGTTCCTAGGGTGGGCTGCGGTGCTGTTCTGAGCAATCTTGGCTGGGGTCGGGCATGCCTTCCTGGAATGACCAGCATCTCTTCTCCTGACCCCAGCCATCCACCGCACCCAGCCTTGGTTCCATGGACGCATTTCCCGGGAGGAGAGCCAGCGGCTAATTGGACAGCAGGGCCTGGTGGATGGGTAAGGGGCTGGACTGGGTGGAGTAATAGACCTGTGGACCAGTGAGACCCTAGGGCAGGGACAACCAGGACTCTCTGGTAATCTGGTTTTCTCTCCCCGAAGTGTGTTCCTGGTCCGGGAGAGCCAGCGCAACCCCCAGGGCTTTGTCCTGTCCTTGTGCCACCTGCAGAAAGTCAAGCATTATCTCATTCTACCAGTGAGTGACGCACCCAACTCCTAATTTGGGTTCTTGTAGCCAGGGGGTCCGGGACTTGAAGCCCTACTATGCGCCTCCTTTTTCCCTGTACAAGAAACGGGGGCCGATTGCTGGCCCCGTGGGCTGCTCCTCCACCCGGGACCGCTCTCTGACCTGCCCTCTGGCCACACCACAGAGCGAAGACGAGGGCTGCCTCTACTTCAGCATGGACGAAGGCCAGACCCGGTTCACAGATCTGCTGCAGCTGGTGGAGTTCCACCAGCTGAACCGAGGCATCCTGCCCTGCGTGCTGCGCCACTGCTGCGCTCGTGTGGCCCTCTGAGACCACACGAGCCGTTCCAGCCCGTGGGGCTGCCCACCCCCCTTCTGTTCAGTGGACTCGCAGCGGGATGGGATGGTGGACGGCTGAAGACCTCCCCCATCCCACTGTCCTCCTGTTTCTTTACCTCCCTCAGACGACAAAACATCCCCAAACCCATCCATCCCTGACTTCTGTCCCTAAGGGAGGCATCTGTGGTCCTCTCCCCAGGAGCTCCTGAGGCACTATTCCAGTCAGGGGCATCATGAGAGAAGAGGGACAGCCCAGGTGGCCTCATGCCCCACACGCTGTACAGACTAAGAGGCCAGTTGATCTGTTCTGTTTTATACTAGTGACAATAAAGATTATTTTTTGATACACCCATGAGTTCTGTCTGGCAAGAGCTGACAAGAGGACCAGTAGAGTGAAGGTGTTGGTGAACCAGAATACGCCCTGAGCATAAAAATGGTGTTAGTTGCCTGGGAGCTTCCATATCCTAGCAAGTACCAGGCACTCAGTGCTGGTTAAATGGATGAGTGGACAACACGCAACTAGAGACTGTGCTTTTTTTTCCCATTTTTTAAAAAGATTTTTATTATTTATTATGTATACAGTATTCTCAGTATTCTGCCTGCATGTATGGCCAGAAGAGGGCACTAGATCTTATTACAGATGGTTGTGAGCCACCATGTGGTTACTGGCAATTGAACTCAGGACCTGTGGAAGAGCAGGCAGTGCTCTTAACCACTGAGCCATCTCTCCAGCCCCCTCTTTCATTCTTTTTTTAAAAAATATTTTAAAATTATATGTCTGTGTGCATTTGAGTATGTGCATGTGTGAGTGCAAGTGCTCAAGGAAGCCAGAAGGGGGCGCTGGATTCCTTGGAATTGTATTACAGGCAGCCAGAAGCTGTCTGACGTGGATGCTGGAAACCAAACTCAGGTCTTTTGCAAGAGCAGTATGTGCCTTTGACCAATGAGCATCTCTTCAGCCCCCAAAGGATTGGACTTTTCTGACAGAACTCAGATCTATCAGAGTCTGGAAACTGGAGATGAGCCAGATACAGTGGTACATGCCTGGAATATCAGCACGAGGGTAGTAGCAGTAGGAAGAACATTTCAGGGCCAGCCTGGCCTATTTGAGACCCCATTTCCCCACCTCCCTTCTCCTCACAAACAAGATGAGTCTACAGCAAGTCTTGGACCAGTCGGTGGACAGTGAGCCCTGACAGACTGACAGACATCAGGGCAGAGAAAATGGTTTCACTGCTGTCTTCCACCAGTTTCTTCTTCCTTGCCCAGATCTGCTTTCTGTCCTTACAGTGCCCCTCACCCAGAAAGCCAGACAGGGAATGAATACACAGTCTTCCTTCCCTGCCAGTCTGTCCACTCTCTCCAGCCCAGAGTGACCTTTGCAACGTGCAAACCTGTCCGCTGCTCACCCAGGCTGCATTTTCCCCAAGAGTTTCATGCCTTCATCTAACCCAGGCAGTAGCAGCTTTGTGATAAATGTGTTCAACGACAACACCCGGGCCTCTGGCTCCAGTCGCCGAGACTCATCTTCTAGAATGTGAACCCCAAGAAGACATTATTTTGCCAAAAGTCAAACTTGACTTTTATTCTATGGGTTTAATAACTAGTTTACCCGAAATACGAGGGCTAGAGGAACGCGTGAATTGACACATGGAGACAGCAAAACCTGGACTGGGAAAGTACGGAAGGGATGGCTCAGTTCTACTTCAGCAACAGCAGAGATGACAAGAAGAGCAAAGGTGGGGACTGTCCAGATTATAAGAAATTTAGATGTCAACAACCCAATGATTCAAATCCAAACTCCCTGTAAAAGTCCGTCCAAGAGCAATTGGGAGTCATTTTAACTCTCACAATATTAAGGAATATACCTAATTTTTAAGAAAAAATTTAAGGTATGGTAATGGCATGGTAGTTCTTCCCCCCCCCAACCCCCCCCCCCTTTAAAAGACTTTGCTGGGTGTGACAGCAAAGTCCCAGCACTGTTCTAGCAAGTTCCAGGCAAGCCTGAGCTACATGGTGAGACAAACATACCAACAACCCAGTGGGAGGGAGACTCATTTGAAATAAGTTCTTTTTTATTTAATTTTTTAAAGAAGATATTTGTTATGGATTCAATGTTCTGTCTGCATATATACCTGCAGGCCAGAAGAGAGCACCAGATCTCATTACAGATGGTTGTGAGCCACCATGTGGTTGCTGGGAACTGTACCTAGGACCTCTGGAAGAGCAGTCAGTGCTCTTAATCTCTGAACCATCTCTCCAGCCCCCATTTGAAGTATTTCAGGTGAGATGATGTAACATCTTGGTTTTCCCAGGACTCTCATTGTGTATTCTTGGCTAGGCTGACATTTGCTATGTAGACTAGGCTGGCTAGCCTGGAACTCACAGAGATCCACCTGCCTCTGGCAGACCCCCACCCCCCCCTCCTTGTTTTAGATAGGGTTTCTATTGCTTTAAAGAGACACCATGAGGGGCTGGAGAGATGGCTCAGCGGTTAAGAGCACCGCCTGCTCTTCCAAAGGTCCTGAGTTCAATTCCCAGCAACCACATGGTGGCTCACAACCATCTGGAATGGGGTCTGGTGCCCTCTTCTGGCCTGCAGGCATATACACAGACAGAATATTGTATACATAATAAATAAATAAATAAATAAATATTTTTTTAAAAAAGAGGCACCATGACCATAGCAGCTCTTATAGAGAAAACATTTACTTGAGGTGGTGGCTTACAG